GACAGATGCATGGGCAGCTCCATAGACACTGTCTAGTTCATGAACAGCTGGGAAAAAGAAGAAAGCAGACAGCTCCTTAGACTGTGCTAAAAAAGGGAGAAAAAAAAAATCTAGAATGTCCTAGAGGCAGAGCCTGCAGGGATAAGTATTTACACGTCTGAAATAGTGCTGCAGAGGAAAAGGATAAGAGAAGAAAAAAAAGGAAGGAAGGAAGGAAGGAAGGAAGGAAGGAAGGAAGGAAGGAAGGAAGGAAGGAAGGAAGGAAGGAAGGAAGGAAGGAAGGAAGGAAGGAAGGAAGGAAGGAAGGAAGGAAGGAAGGAAGGAAGGAAGGAAGGAAGGAAGGAAGGAAGGAGAGGAAGGAAGGAAGGAAAGAAGTAAGGAAGAAAGGAAGAAAGAAGGAAGGAAGGAAGGAAGGAAGGAAGGAAGGAAGGAAGGAAGGAAGGAAGGAAGGAAGGAAGGAAGGAAGGAAAGAAGGAAGGAAGGAAGGAAGGAAGGAAGGAAGGAAGGAAGGAAGGAAGGAAGGAAGGAAGGAAGGAAGGAAAGGAAGGAAGGAAGGAAGGAAGGAAGGAAGGAAGGAAGAAGGAAGGAAGGAAGGAAAGGAAGGAAGGAAGGAAGGAAGGAAGGAAGGAAGGAAGGAAGGAAGGAAGGAAGGAAGGAAGGAAGGAAGGAAGGAAGGAAGGAAGGAAGGAAGGAAGGAAGGAAAGAAGGAAAGGAAGAAAGGAAGAAAGGAAGAAAGGAAGAAAGGAAGAAAGAAAGGAAGAAAGGAAGAAAGGAAGAAAGGAAGAAAGGAAGAAAGAAAGAAAGAAAAGAAAGAAAGAAAAGAAAGAAAAGAAAGAAAGAAAAGAAAGAAAAGAAAGAAAAGAAAAAGAAAGAAAAGAAAGAAAAGAAAAAGAAAGAAAAGAAAAAGAAGGGAAAAAAAATCAGGCATTCCAACTGTCTCCATCTCATCTCTGAATGCATCCTGCGCCCTCTCCTGGAGCACTGTGTTTATCTCAACCGAGCATGCAACCCTTGCAAGAGGTGCGCAACAGGAAAGACCAGAGCTGGGAAAAGGCCGGGCCATTTAGAAGGGAGGAAGCTCGAGGGATATAGTGCAGTGTAAAGGTAATACATGAATTAAAAATGAAGCACTGTGCAACAGCTGATGTGGGTGAGCCTGTTCCCTACATGGTGCCTTGAGGGGAAGGGATTAACAAAGGGATTTGGGGCTCTCTTAGCTCAATCCACAGCAGAGTTAAGTGAGCAGGCTGCAAAATTCGGATACTACAGTGGAGCAGGTAAGCAGGAGGGGGGGGTCAGGATTGCAAAATTACTAAAAGCTCGAGCAGAAGGCTCACTACAAATGATTATTCTCTTGTCAGCAGCAAAACACACTGGAAGTTCACCTAAAGGGTGAATCTTTCTATTAATAAATAAGGAAATTATTCCCCTACAAGTATGCAAATTGCTACTCAGGAAATGGCCTGGGCTATTAGGAGCTTTTAATGTGCACTAAATCAATACACCAGCAGATTGCCTGCTCCATTTAGAGGCAAACACACCAGTCACACTGGCTCAGCTTGGTCTGGGGATGGAATATGACTTCTCCCTTTTAAAAGAACAAGAGCGTGCTATACAGATCTTGTGCTACCTGATGGTATCATCAAGAATATTATCACTTCAGTTCAATACTTTGGGCATGGTATTTAGTGAAGACAAATTTGGCTAAGTCACAAAGTCAGAGAGATGTAGAGCTCTCATCTTTCTCTTGTGAGCAGTTCTCATCACCCTTCTCCATCAGCTTCAGACTGTCACTGTTGTGTCTACTGAATTGCCAGTTTCCCAGTAGTGAGTGTCCACTGCCTAGTTCACTATCAATTCTCTTCTTATTTCCATGTAAATATCTTTCTTCCTCACCATTCTTTCTCAGAGAGCTCCACAGTTCTGTTCCTGTCTGCATGAGTACCATCTCCTTCTTTGTATTTTAAACCTGAATCCCAATGGCCTCATTTGATTACTCCAAGTCTAGTTACCCCAGAAGAAACAAGCTCTCCATGCCATTCATAATTAGACCTCTCCCTTGTTTTTCCCACCACCCACGGTGCCTTTTCCAGGTGGGAGAGTGCAGCCCACTCAGTTACTCCTCAGGGCTGTTGCTTACGTTGATGATCCTCCTTACCTTCTCCAAATATTGTGCAGTTAGAGTCTGAAAATGGGATACCAGGACTACAGGTGGTACTCAAGCTCTTGGAAGAGACATTTTGCTTGCTATTTAGATTGCTGCTGAGCACTGAGATGTTTTTTGATTAAGATATCTATCATAACCACATAGTCTCATTCCTGATTGGCAAGGATTTACTCGTCTATTGCTTTGAAGTTAGGATCATTTTTCCCCATACCCATCACTTTATATTTACCAGCAAAAAATTTTGTCTGCCTTTTCATTGTGCTGTCACTCAGCCTTGTAAGTCCTTCTGCAACTCTTTACAGTACGTTCTTTTCCTCACTGCTCTGAAGAGCTTTGTATCATCAGCAAAGTTGATCACCTTACTGCTCAGCTCCTCTGCCAGGTCATTTATGAAAGTGTGGAACCGCTCAAGTTTCAGGACAGACACCATCCAACAGTGACTTCTCTCCATTCATCAGTTGACCAGACACTCTGCCCACTGTTTCCCATTTGTAAACATGCCAGGATCTTCTCTTTTATCCTGTGGCTGTGCAGTTCCCTCTAAAGCCTTTTGGAAATCTAACTTAACCAAGTACACTCACCATTATCATTGCTTACCTCTTCAAAGAATTATCTATCTAAGGAAAATCTTTCGTAGCAGAAACCATGTTGACTTTCTCCCAAGGAAACTTATGCTTTTATCAGGCATTCATCAATTCAATTCTTTGTTATATTGTCTATTAATTTGCCTAGCACAAATGTCAAATTTGCTAGACCACAGTTCCTTAGATACCCTTTTGGCAACCTTTTTAAAGAATGGCACCATGCTTGCTACTCTGCAGACTTCAGGAACCAATGGAAGTTTAAGTGAATTATATAGTGCCATAAGTAATTTAACTGTTTCTTTTGAAACTCATGAGTGAACATCATTCAATTCTGGTGATTTGTTAGCATTCATCTGTATTTCTGCAACACGATATCTGCCACAGTTATTTAAGAGGAGAGATGTTAGTCTGTCTTTGATTTCATTTTCTTCTAATTCAATGACTCTGCAAATTGTATCCTCTGTTGGGATCACTAATTCACTTCTAAGAAAATTATTGTAATGGGCCATTTATGATACCACATATAAATGCTGTACTCAAAGTTAATATGTCTATACTCCTCACTGCTACTCCTTCTTCCTGCTGTTTCTTTTATATCTATATTACCCATGTGTTACTATGAAGTGGCATTTTTATTCTGTAATTATTTACAGGAGTGGAGATCAGGGCTAAGATTACAGCCTGACTATAAATGGTTTTACCTTCATCATCCATTTAGACTTCTGATGAGTGATCACCTACATGCAGCCTGAGAAAGACAAGATGATCAATCCTGCCTTGGCAGTACTTTAGATCTTTGTTTTCTGCTGGATAAAATGCACATTTTCATAGGAAAAACTTTTTTTATTATTATTTTTTTAGAAGCATTTTGAGCTTTACTTAATAAACAAAAAAAAGGATAGAGGTGGTGATGATGGGGATGTAAGGGGATTTGCATCACTGGACACGGCTAGATGTGAATTATAACCTGAACCTGGTTATAATTGATATTTTTTTGCTGAACAGATGATTTATCTGATAGTATTGCCTATAACATACCCAGACACAATGCATCTACCTGTAAAATGCTTCGGCGGTTATGACCAATCTAGTTTCTACGTGTTGCTGCAGGTTTTGACCACTGCTGACCCAAGGCTTGCAGTGATAGTGTCGGTAATGATGGGAACCAAGGGACATTTTGGTTCCTCAATGGCATATGTGTCATCCACTTTAATGCAGAGGGTTTGGGAACAGCAGCTTTCCTTTTTCCTCCTAAAAAGGAGTTAAGGATTATCTGAACTGAAAGAAGAAGGAACAGATATGAAGTAGGTAAGTGGAGTTAGGCTGAGACTGGTCTGAAATAAGGTGGCTGAGAAAGCAACAGCTTTGTAGGTGAACAAAAGATGAGTGTGAAGTCAAATTTGAAAGTGAGATTGTCCAGGGCTCAAGGAATTACAAAGAAAGCCAAGGACCTTATATAATGGTGTATGAGGTTGTGATTAGAGTCAGGTCTTTGGGTGAGTGACAGGGAGCAGACAAACACATATACTCAATAGTAACAGTGTTGTCACAATGTCAAGCTAAAACAAATGCTGTGTGTGAACTGTTGCCCTTGCTTCATTTAGAAAGATACAGACCACTGCCTCTACTGCGGGAAACAGAATCTGGAATTTTCCTTGACTATTATTTTATCACCCTCTTTCAGTGTGATTGTAAAGCAAAAGAATACCTCCCCGGTGGATAAATTCCACATACATGGACTTACCTTTTTGGCTGCCAAGTCAAAGAGCAAGCAAAAGGTCTGAGAAGTAATTTGGAGATTATCACTGAACATTCCCAGATGTGGTGAGTTTGATAGAGCAAACTAGGTCTCCTGGGAGATGGCAACAGATTGATCTTGCCTAGGTTTTCAACAAGATCCAGAATCTGAGAGACGCAGAAGCAATTCAGAGGTACCTTCAAAAACCTTTCTTGAGGTACCTTTCTTGAGCAAGGGCTGAAATGAAGTCACACATTGTGTAGAAAAGGACACAGTTCTTCAAAAAGCGTCCATCCTTTGGTATCTGTAGGGCCATGAGACAAGAAGGGAAGGGACAGAGCTGGTAGCAGTCAGAGTGCCTCTGAGGAAGAAAAGGTGCTCTTCTGCAAGTGGCTGTGACCAGTCCTAGGCAAGCTTCACAGCTGTATTAATTCCACACCAAATATTTCATAGGAACATAATAAGGTTGAAGAGGGCAAGCAAACTTTTTGACATAAAAACTACACCACACTTTAAAAAATACTGATTTTATTCATATATCTAGCCTATTTAACAGTGGATCACACCGGTAGGAACAATCACAAATATCTAGTTACATGTTTTCATCAGGTTCTGGACTGTGCAACATTGGGTTTGAGTCAAGCACATATTATGTCATCACCAATACAGAAAATGATTGCTGTTCAAAGCTCAGTTGAGTCCTGTCTCCTTGGTCAACTTCCAAGCCCAATAACCTCTTCTAATACTGTGTGTGGGATTGTCTACGAAGAACTTGTTTTCTCAAAGTCTGAATCCAACAAACAGCCTAAAGCACATGCTCCACCTTTTTACCTCACATACTTTATTTGCACGGCTTCAGGTTTTCAGTACAACAAACAAACAGAACCCCCTACCATCCACAATTTCTCAGAAATGTTGGACCACACCTGTATAAATCAGACTAGCTTCAATAATGGATCTGCAACTCTTTATCTCACCACATGATCTGGTCTGCAAATCCCAACTGTCTTCTTTGAGATAATGCATCGGAGCAAGGTTTCACAGCAAAAGCAAAGCTATCCTGTAACTAACATCCCTGCTGAACGTACTGTGCTGGCACACAGTATGGTCTAAAGTCTCTGACCTGTTTGCCGTGTATCTGAAGGGTATCCACAGACTTCTGCAGTATATCCACACTTTATTAAATGCACCCTACACTTAGGTTAACTCTGAAGAGTCCCAAACAGTATCAATGTGGAGTGAATGTTGCCTCCAAAGAACTGTGTGCTCACATCCACACTCAGGACTACTGAGCAGACCTGCTCCAAAAGCATCTTTGGATCTGGCACCTCAGGGTTTCTTTAAGCCTGTTTTGAGTCACTGGTAGTCAGGAAGTCACAGCTCCTCAGAGGATCGGACCCACAGCTAGCAGCCACAAGGAGATATTACAGCCTAAACCGTTCCAGGTGCCAAAAGCTGCCAAATTAGAGCGAGCTGCCTTCCATCCTTTCTCCCTCACACACTGACTGTGAGGACTGGCAAACATGCTAAAAGTCATTTTTATGTATTAATAGAGAGTCCTAGGGAAGTTGGATGTTGAGCATTCCTCAGAGTACCTTCCGAAAATCCCAGTTGTCATGCTCAGGGTACCTTTTACTCCACACTTCCTCTCAGTCTCTCCCTTCCCAGAATCCATTCTTTCTAGCCATCCTCCCACTCTCCTATGCAGAGCTGGCAACACACACAGGGTGGATCCATCTTTGGTTATAGGCATTTGGCTGCATAACTGACCTTTCCTGCTGCCAAAGAGGGGATTCCAGGCCAGAGTATCCCACTCTGCCCTTCACTTTTCGGTTCTTATTGGGTTTCTATCAGTTTCAGCACTACATAGCATGGACTTGTGGAGCTTGAAAAGCAACAGTTCTTTGTCACAATGGTGCCATAGGAGAAGACTGCGGAGCATTTTCTTAGAAATCTGCAAACAATTATATTGCGTTTTTAGAACTGTCTGGCTATTGTGCCTCCTAAATCACATGAAAGACTACAAACAGCGCTACTTCAGTGAAACGCTACAGCCACTGAAACTAAATCACTGCCTCCTTTGGAGGAGCAATGGACTCACATGTTCACCACAAGAACTGACTGTACATACGCTAAAGCAAGACACTTCCTAGGTAAATGAGAAATACCTCTAGTTTGGGCCCCTCCCTTAGATATCAGATATTAGGCACGAACATGATGATTACTACTTGTAGAGCTATGTGAAACATCTACCATTTATTTGAGTTATGAAAACACAGTTTTAAATAGCACAGTAATCCAAGGCCAAAAGACAGGCAGACAAATGGGCAGACTTTGGCCACTTGTTAGATCCTCTAGAGAAAGCTATTTGCTCTTATAAGGGCTGACCTTATGCATTTGCCAGGACTAAATGCTTCACTTGAAAAAGCGTTTGAAGAAAGTTTCAACAGTGGAGTCTTTTGGAGGTGCCCAGTGTCAATTTCCAGCTTCCCACAGTACTCAGTGCTTGACTGGGGCTTTTGATGAACAGCTCATAAATTGCTGTTATTTAGCTACTGGCAATTGAATCCAGCTTTATTTAGTTTTCCCAGAAATCAGACAAATTTGAATCTTATATGGGATTCTCCCCGCCTCCTCCCTCCATCCCTATTCACATCTAGTTTCAGTTTCCCGGAACTAAGAGTGTTAACCCCTTTAACAAAGACCAGAAACAAGAAAACTGCAAATCAAGGAAACCACTTTCCTGTCCATAAATGTTGTATCCCCTGCACACAGAGAAACTTCTCCAACTCTGCATTAAGAAGATGCAGCAATGTCTCTTGCAGCATCCTGACAGCCTTGCAGCATCCAGAATCCAGCCTAGCAAGGGAAAAAAAAGTGTTACATGTTAAATAAATGCCCAAGACAATTGCATGGATGACAGTTAAGAAACATCAACCTAAGTGCTAATTTCTTAATAAGAATGACTGAAGAGACCAAATTTGATATATCTTATCAATATAACTACAGCTGGCTACAATGGAAAGTGCCACAATTTTTTCCTTACCTTGACACCTAGTGGAATTTGATTTATGGGGGATTTTTCCTTCTGGCTGATAGGAATTATATACATCTCTTCTTGCAGGAGATGAAATATGCATATTAGAAGGTTACAAAGTTTGTTAAGATGCATTAAAGTGCTGTACTGCTCCAAGAATAGAGACCCAAGGTCTGATCTTTACTGTAACAGACACTTTGTTAATTCCTGAAGCCATTTTCTTTGTGTCTAATTATAAGTCCTTTTAAGGCAGATCTATATTAACAATTTGGCTTAGAAGTCTTTTCCCCCATGCGAGGATCAGGAAAGCCCATCAGAGCAAGAGTGGCTTCTATTTTTTAAATCCTTTTTTTTAATCAGATCTAAAATAATTTATTGAGACAATGAATGGAAACCATGTTGGGTCTGCAAGGACTTTTCTTCATTTAGACACTTCTTCATTGTCACACTTCGATGCTGTCCATTCTAGCTGCATCCAGGTCCATCTGTGCTAGTGACACATGAAACCTAAAGGGCTATTCATAAGTTATTAAAAATATCTGCAGTCCTCCATGACAAAAGAGAGAGAAAGGGAAGACAAAAGTGACTGGAATAAATGTGGCACTTGATCCGTCCTATAAAAGTCTGTTGCAATCTGAAATATCATGTAAGAGTTCCTCATAACTTGAGCAATACTTTCCTTTTCCCTCTTTATGTCAACAGTGCAAATCCTCAATTCTCCTAGCCTAACATGCCCCTAACAGTTACCTGTTGCATTTTTCTTTACATAGGATGGCACTTAGGTGTTCCTATGGCTACCCTATGTAGGCTTTGATTTGCAAGGTTTTTTGTAGCAGAGGTGCTACAGAGGTGGTTACTGTGATAAGCTGCTAGAAGCTTCCCCCATGTCTGATAGAGCCAGTTCCAGCCAGCAACAAGATGGATCCATCACTGGGCAAGGCTGAGCCCACCAATGACGTTGGTAACACCTTTGGGACAATGTGTTTAAGAAGGGGTGGAAAAAAAACCCAAACCCAAAACGAAACAAAAATTGCACAACTGCAACTAGGAGAGAGCAGTGAGAACATGTGAGATGGTTTTATTTCTTATTATCCTACTCGAATTTGATTGGCAGTAAATGAAACTGATTTTCCAAGTTGAGTCTGTTTTGCCCATGATGGTAATTGATGAGTGATCTCTCCCTATCCTTAACTCAGGAGCCTTTAATTATACTTTTGTTCTGCCCCGTCCAGCTGAGGAGGGGAGTGATGGAGCAGCTTTGGTGGACACCTGCTGTCCAGCCAGGGACAACCCACCACAGATACATGCTTAGGATGTGATATTAAATTAATAACTTTAGGATTCCTGAGTCCTAAACAAAATTCTGAGGTCCAGACTTAATTTAATTGTGTGAGTACTTGAGAGGGCTAGTCACAGGCTTAAAGAAGTTAAACATGTGCCTGCCTAAATGTCATGAATAGCTCAAGCCTTGTACTGCAAGGAGTTTACACCATTTATAGTTTTACACAGTATTTTCTACTAAGACAGTTCCATTTCCCAATCACTACAGAGTGTGAAAGCAGCTCAATGCAGTATGAAGACCATACTCTTTCTAGTCCTTCTGCTCCCGCAATTCCTGCAACTGCTTGACAATGACTCAAGTATCCAGGAGAAAAAAAGAGCAAGAACTGGCTATAAAAAGAGTGTAAGCCAGAAGGTTGGTTGTAACATTGCCAAAGCCCACAGGAGGAGAATGAAATAAGTGGGAGAAAGCCTACAAAGTGAACAAGGTTTGTCCAGAGCTCTGTCTAGGTTCAGAAAGGAGAAAATGCCAGTGGTACATAAAATATATAAATATGCATGCTTACATATACATAAACACATTCACAGTCACACAGAAGCTACATATTTAAGCAGACCACACAGAAGCTACATATTGAAGCAGACTGTAGGTATCTAGAAATGTGCAAAATATTACAAAAATTTGTAAAATCATTCATTTTTCATAAAGTTTTCTAAGAATAAGACAGCTCTGCCAACAAAATGTACGGCCTGCTTGCTTTGAGTTCACCAAAGCTGTGGGAAATCCGATTTGCAGGCTAAATCTGTGCTGATCTTCGAAGCAATATTCCCTCACTGAAGTTTCTTTAATGTAAGCTTTTCCCTGTAGATTTTTGTGCTGAAGAGGGAAGTTTCCAAGCCAAGGATTATGAAGACTGAACAAGCTGGTAGACATACAAAAGCTAGCTCATACTTTTAAAAAATTCACAGCAACAACGGTTACTAGTGATTGCTTGGAGTTTGGTAAGTCAAAGACCCCATCAAACAAAGGCAGAGACAGATGTCTGCAACAGCTGCATTAATTGAACCTATGACAAATCACAGTGGGGTTTGTTGGTCTGATTCTACTTTTAGTTTAATACTGATGTATTTGATGTGGATCTTCCTCAAAGTCAGTAAAGGTGTTCCCCTGGAAAAAAAAAAATAGAAGAGTCTACATATTCTATATTTGGTACCTAGGATCTCCTTTTAACCACAGTGTACATTAGTAATCCAGCAAATGTTTAGATATTGTAAAATATATTTCCTTGATAAATCTGTCATAAGCCCCCAACACCCTATTGCAGTGCAGGTCGTACACCCGAGTGTTATCTTGTCAAATACCTCCATGGCCCACAGGATGGCACTATGCCACCCCACAAACCTGCTACAGGCTTTTGGTGCCTTTTCCTGACAGCAGCAGTCAGTATAAGGCAGGCTTTTTCACACCAGTTTTTTTCCTCTGAATTTTCAGGCTTTCCGGAATTCAGCATAATTCCACAGATTCTCCCTTGCCGGCACACTGATCTTGTGTGTCTTTGCTCAGAAAGATCACCATTTGCTTTCTGTGGGCATTTTGCTTCAATAAACAACAGTAAGCTAACCCCAGAAAAGGTTTACCCTGGTAGCTACACAGCAACCTCCAGAACAACTGCTTCTTTTTACTGCTGATAAACAGTATTTGATAAGCCTGAAACTAATTAATAACAGTGTATCCTGGGCTGCATCAAAAGGAGCGTGACCAGCAGGTCGAAGGAGCTGATCTTGCCCCTCTACTCTGCTCTCGTGAGACCTCACCTGGAGTATTGTGTGCAGTTATGGTGTCCTCAACATAAAAAGGACATGGAACTGTTGGAATAAGTCCACAGGAGGGCCACGAGGATGATCAGGGGACTGGAGCACCTCCCATATGAAGACAGGCTGAGAAAGTTGGGGCTGTTCAGCCTGGAGAAGAGAAGGCTGTGTGGAGACCTCATAGCAGCCTTCCAGTACCTGAAGGGGGCCTATAGGGATGCTGGGGAGGGACTCTTCATTAGGGACTGTAGTGGCAGGACAAGGGGTAACGGGTTCAAGTGTAAACAGGGGAAGTTCAGGTTAGACAGAAGGAGGAAATTCTTTACTGTGAGGGTGGTGAGGCACTGGAATGGGTTGCCCATGAAAGTGGTGAATGCTCCGTCCCTGGCGGTGTTCAAGGCCAGGTTGGACAGAGCCTTGAGTGACATGTGAGGTGTCTCTGCTCATGTCAGGGGGGTTGAAACTTTATGATCTTAAGGTCTTTTCTGACCCTAACTATTCTATGATTCTGTGATTCTATATTCAAAGTACTGTACAAAACAAATTCAGTTAACAATTTTGCTAATTATCACATAATTCTACTTAAGATCACTGTAAAAGCTTGGAATTTGCATGGCCTACAGCTATCTAGCATGGATTGAAGGGTGCTCCAGTCTTTACACACACATGCATGGACATACTTGGCACATATGCTGCAGCTCAACTGATAGAGCATCCACAGAGTTTCACAATCCTCTCCCATTTACAGGTGAAAGATGGAGACAAACCACAGACACACAGAATCACAGAATCCCAAGGGTTGGAAGGGACCTCAAGAGATCATCTGGTCCCACCCCCCTGCAAGAGCAGGGTAACCTAGAGTACATCACACAGGAACTTGTCCAGGCGGGCGTTGAATATCTCCAACATAGGAGACTCCACAACCCCCCTGGGCAACCTGTTCCAGTGCTCTGTCACTCTCACAGTAAAGAAGTTCTTCCTGATGTTAACGTGGAACCTTCTATGCTCCAGTTTACACCCATTGCCCCTTGTCCTATCACTGGATATCACTGAAAAAAGCCTAGCTCAATCATCCTGACACCCACCCGTTACATATTTATAAACACTGATGAGGTCACCCCTCAGTCTCCTCCAAGGTAAAGAGACCCAGCTCCTTCAGCCTCTCCTCATAAGGGAGGTGTTCCACTCCCTTAATCATCTTTGTGGCTCTGCGCTGGACTCTTTCAAGCAGTTCCCTGTCCTTCTTGAACTGAGGGGCCCAGAACTGGACGCAATATTCCAGATGTGGCCTCACCAAGGCAGAGCAGAGGGGGAGGAGAACCTCTCTTGACCTACTAACCACACCCTTTCTAATGCACCCCAGGATGCCATTTGCTTTCTTGGCCACAAGGGCACATTGCTGGCTCATGTTCATCCTCCTATCCACCAGGACACCCAGGTCCCTTTCCCCTTTGCTACTTTCCAGCAGGTCAGCCCCCAACCTGTACTGGAACCTGGGGTTGTTCTTCCCCAGATGCAAGACTCTACACTTGCCCTTGTTGAATTTCATCAAATTTCTCCCCGCCCAACTCTCCAGCCTGCCCAGGTCTCGCTGAATGGCAGCACAGCCTTCTGGTGTGTCAGCCACTCCTCCCAGTTTAGTGTCATCAGCGAACTTGCTGAGAGTGCACTCGGTTCCCTCATCCAGGTCGTTGATGAAAATATTAAACAGCACTGGTCCCAGCACTGA